TTACAGAAGGGTCTCGGGGAGGAGACGAGCCAGTCAGGGCGCAACGTAGAAACGATGAAACATACAACTTTCCTCTAGTTCCTAAATGCTTCCTCCCCACAAATCCGGCTAGATCAGAGGATGTACACTGGTACTGATAAGAACTGGAAACACAGGGAATCCAGGACAGATGATCCCCTCAGGACCAGTGGTGAGAGTGGTGATACTGGGAGGGTGGAGGGAAGGTGGGGTAGAAAGGAGGAACAGATTGCAAGGACAATGGGGCACGGACAATGGAAGGGTGAGTGAGGGGAGATGTCGAACAGTGTAAAACATGACAGAATAATAATAATTTATAAATTATCAGGGGTTCATGGGGGGTGGGCGGGGAGGGTGGGAGTTGAAAAATGAGGAACTGATACCATGGGCTCGGGTGGAGGGCAAATGTTTTGAGAATGACGATGGCAACGGGTGTGCAAGTGTGCTTGACACAATGGATGGATGGAAGGATTGTGATAGGAGTTGTACAAGCCCCCAATAAAATGATTAAAAAATGAATTAGCATCTGTTAAGAAATGGTACGACTTGGCTTCAAATATGTAGTAAAATTACCTACAGTCAGTTTTCACTGTCTGTGATTATCCTGTTCTAGAAAGTCGCCATAAATACTGAATTAGTAAACACTGAGTGAGGCTCTGAGTTATGCTCAATTGATATGCCCTTTCCAGCCACAATCTTTTATGTGACATATGACACTTCTGCATTTCTGCGGCTGTGGTCCCATTTTTGGAAGACATTATCTGCTAACAAACATGACTGAGATGAGACTGAGTACACTCACTGACCTTAGAAGAGGGCGTGAATCGAACAATACTCTTTGTTTATTGATTATCTTAGTATTAAGTACGATAGGTGTAAGGAATAATATACTACAGCAGAGAGGACAAAGAAAACTTTTTTGGTGTGCCCTGGGAAACGAGCCTGCTGAATAAGATTAGTAAGGGGCCAATCACTACAAATCCACATCGACTCGATGGAACTGAGGGGTGTTTTTGAAGAGGTCACTACCTACTGGAAACATCTTGACAGAGGCCCTGAGTTGTATGTGTATAAACAAGATACAGTGCAGGGTGGAGAATGATCATTACATTTGGGCGAAATCTGATTGCACCATGTCACTCCCACCAAAGGACCTATCCCTGGGATATTTATGTAATTTATATTCTATGCATCTACTTAAGACTGTCAACATAAATATTAAAAAGTCACATTTCATGCTGTTGTAATCCCCTATGTTCAAATATAATACCTGGAAAACACATTTTATTAAAACTACAGTTTACAGAGAATGTAGCACAGTAACTATCATGATAAGTCACAGTTAACATGTATACCAAAAATTATACATTTTTATTGCAAATTCAGTCACCTCTATTATTGCACGCATATGCACACACACACACACACACCTGTCTTCTAGGTAAAATCAAGAAGCAAAATCAAAGCGATTTTGAGTACTTTCTTGTTTTGTTTTTGTTTTGGGTATGTGGATTAATCAAGTTCAGTACCAAATCAAAAAATAATAGGATATTTTTAATAATACTATTT